ACTGACTTGTGTGAGACTGTCAACAGCAGCTATGATATGAAGATAAGATCAAAGCCGAAAACGTCTGTCAACACATAGCATGGAAATATCAGGTCAGACAGTACAAAATAAACTGATTGCAGATGCATGATAATAGGAGATAAGTTGAGTATGTGGTGACTGCAAGAAAGACCCTCCAAACAAAATGATGTTTGATAAAAGTAGCTGCAGAACTACAGCTATAGACTAATCTTCCACCGCATCAGATGGTTCTTCTGCAACCTAGGTTGCTTTAAAAAAATGTAACTTCAAAATATGTTTTTACTGCGTGAACAGTTCTGAATGAAACGCACAATATTCTCAGTTTACAGCAGGTACGAGTGCTTAGCATTAGCTACTTTATGCAAAAGATGTTGGCCAACACAATACAAGTCTGTACTAATGTCTATTATAACTGGCACAGAAACAAACATATTTATTTAAAAACAAGTTAATGTCGGGAGAGTTTGAACAATAGTATGTGTGAAACGTTTCTAGAACACACAACTTTGATCCACTCTTTCCACATTACCCAGATCCCCCTCTTTTAATGCAGTGAATGTAACTGTAGATATACAGTACCTGACACAGAGAGAAGGAAGACAACAAATCCACTCGCTGCTGCACTTAAACTCATAGCTGCTCCTCTCATCTCTCTGTGAGGCTTCAGAGACAATAAAACATGTCAGCAGGTAAAATAATAATGTACACAGGAGGTAAACAGGATCAGTCACATCAATAAACAATTCTACTTACACTGAAGAAGGACGTCGTCTTTAAAGATGACTTTCCTCTGTGGTCAGTAAGCAGAAGACGGATGTCAGGCTGTTAAACTGCTAGATATACTTCCTCTTAGATTATTAATATTCATGATGAGCCAAATGCCAGTAAACACCCACATCACAACAAATATGTGTTGTTTTAAAAACTTAACAGGAGAGAAATTGAAACTAGTGTGAATTTAAATGCCCACATGCTACTGAGACAAGACCAGTACGAGGAAGCAGTACGAGATGCAAAGAGTGACATGCTGAGCACAGAATGTTTATTTTAATTATTGAGCGACATGCAAAAAAGTGGATTACATAATGACACATGTTATGTGTCATTGTACTTTTGCTATCCCTTTGCTTGTGTGTGTTATGTACTCTGTGTTCAAGGTGCAGTTCCTGAGTGATGATTGAGGGCGCCTGCATGAAGCTGTGGGTGTGGCCTATATAAGCGGATCCTTTCACCACCCTCACTCTCTCAACTGCCTGGCATAAGATCCCAGCCTTTGTTTGTGTTGCTCTTCCTTTGTCTTGTTGTAAATAAATGTTATTCTTTTGCATCGTACCTAGTATGGTGTCTCTTAATGTGTTGTGACTTTGAGCCGGTCGTAACACACAGCAATCAGGGTGTCAATCACATGACCGTTCCTTTACGATAACACTTTGTAACTGACTCACAGGCATTCTGACCAAGTGTCACTGTGATACAGAGCGCATCTAATCACTTCTTTTGAAGGTGTAGGGAAATAAGTGAAATGAGTTGGACCAATGTTTGTGAACTAGTTTTACTGAACAGGATGAACAGCAGACCTTTTAAGATGAAGGAAAATAACTAATAGATTTTTTTCTTTCACTCTACGGTCAGGTTGCTGCTGTTTGCAGAAAAATGCAGAACACTGAGGAGGTGAGAAACTCACACACCTGTAGGACATGGACATGTAACACACATGATAAAGAGGACTGGTAGGAGGTGGTAGACATACAATAGTGATATAGCTAATGACATTGATTACAAAAAGTAGTTTTAATGGCTTTGGCTCGTTCAGGTTCTGTGTGTTGTTGGGATCCAAGGAGACCTTTTAAACATGAACTTGTTCATTTGAAGTGTTTAACTGGACCAAAAGGGAAATTTTGAATATGGCCACATTTTTTAAACAAAGAAATGGTCTTTACTACAGCGGCCTGTATATGAGTAATAAAGCCTGCTTGCAGTGAAAAGACAAAGGAAAAACGCCCACCAGATAACAGATCTCACAGTGGGGGTCCAGGAATGAGGTCAAGGTATTATTGCCCAAGGTCATAAGGGCAATAAACGCCTAAACACCGGCCTTTCATTGGTCAGATTCCCTTGGACCCCAGACCCGTCATCCCGGCTATTTAAGCCAGAGAGAGGCTCTTCTCTCTCTCTCTTCTCTTCTCCCTTCGCTCCCCGCTCACACACCCACACTACCTGCGTCAGCGGACATCCCACAGCAAAGACTGTTTGGACTTCAGAACCACAATTCTGACCACCCTGGCTTACAGGACCGCCAGGCGTACCTGGCGCGCAAACCCCATGCGAGCACACACACCACACACACACACACACACACACACACACACACACACACACACACACACACACACACACACAGACCCTTTTCCTCTAACTTAGTTTCTTTAAGTTAGATTGTATATAGTGTATTTTCTTCTGTTTGCTTTTATTGTATTTATTTAATAAATGTTTGTTTTTATGCTGACCTATTTAATTTCGTTCAAGAGTGAGTGATACCAACCTCTTCTATGTAGAACTCCAAAGCTCCCACTTTAGCTATAATGAATGATTTTGGTTGTAGTTATTAATTTAATTATTAATCTGTCTTCTGACTTAATAGTTTAGTGTATTTTTATGAGACTGATCGATCGATTATTGGTTATTGTTTCCCTTATTTAAGGGTGGTCCCCCGAGGATTTTTAATATTAATTAAAGTCATTTTCTATAATCTTTTGATAATTATAAATTTTGATAAACATTAATTGGTTAAACTAATACATTTAGACCACTGTAACCCCTATGACGTGGAGCCCGACAGTGTGCAAATGTTACAAACGTACATTTAAATTGGGATGAAAATAAACAGGAAATGATTCACCTCACAATAAAAACAGACACCAAAACTTCACAGTACACAGCAACACTAAACAAAAACTATCAGCATAGATAGATACCACTGGAGGTAAGACAGAAGATATGTTCTTTTATAATTTGGGTGAACTGACCCTTTAAAGCACACAGAGGGAGCACTCAGAGTGATGAAGCCTCAATGTGTCACACTTAAGCTTCCCCACTAGAGGGCAGTGAAACATCAGAGATACTGAATCAGGACCCTGAAACAACATTTTACCATCACTGATTACTACATCAGGTTTTACTTTTGGTTCTTTATTTTCATGTTTTATGATTGAAACTATTTACATTTGAACTTGTTTACCCTGGATACATAATTCATGAAGAATTACAGATCCAGATTAGTGTCAGTAGTTCACATTGGCCACCAACACCTTTGACATATTGCAACAAACAACGTGTTATTATTGTTATTATTTATTCATTTATTGTGTTATTTACAAATAATGCCAGTAATTCACAGAAAGTATGGGAGTCTGGAGGTCTGGCCAAAACGAAAAAACGGATGGAGGAAGTCTGGGCAAGACACTCTGAGGGCACTAGGACCCAGAGTTTCCCCACCTGAACTATCAAAATAATTGGAACTGAACAAAACGTGGACAACCAGACCTCCATTCTCAAAGAATAATACACAAAAACAAGAAGCAAAAGACGACAAAGGACGTTTGACACCTCCACAGGATTCGGTTCAACACCTCATTCTTCTAAACTTTGTGCTCCATGCTGCTGCTGACTCCTGCCTGCTGCTGCTGCTAAATACTGAACATGACAACTTTTGGGGTTGAAGTTAAATGTTTCCACTTCCCCCACATCCTCCACAGCCTCGCTCTCCACTGTGATATTTCAATGTCGTACTACTTTGTTTCCATCAGGTGAGTCCCTCCTCTGGTTCAACTGCATCTGAAGGAAATCACAGAAAACTTGTGTAAAGTTATGTTTGTAGCTGTGACTATAAATCTGAAGTCAGCCTGTTTTATTGGATGCAGGAGGCTCTAACCTGACTGGACTTCACACTGTGTCTTCCTGCTGCTCTGTGTCTCTGTGTCCTGCAGTCCTGAAGTTTGAGATGTTCTCATACGCAGAACATGAGTCCAACTGATGGGGAAAGATGACAAACTGAAGTTCAGTGGACCTCATTTGTGAAATCTACATACTAACATTTTATGAAAAAGTTATTTGATCAAGTTTAAAAGTAAATTACTTTCTGGTTTCTTCTCAGCAATTGTATTTTAACATGAATTCACTTCACAACTTCTTCACTTTCAGAGCATTTATGAAAGAAGTTATAATAACCAAAGTTCTGTCAACAGCTCCCCTCTCTCTCTCTCTCTCTCTTTCTCTCTCTCTCACCTCTATTGTCTCTACAGGTTCTTGTGGTTCAGTGGTGGAGCTCAGAGTTTTCTTCTTCCTGGATTGAGTTCAACAATAACAAATATAAAATTGAACATAAATAAATTCATGAGACTTAAACGAAAAGAAGTCTGCAGAAGAAATTAAAAGAGCAGGAACTGAACTGATGGATTGTGATTGTTTTACCTCGTCCACAGACTCAGGAGAAGAAGAGGAATCAGCATCAAGCCCACCAGAGTCAACCTGATGATATTCATTATTATTGTTGAATTCCCTAGAAATACAGATAGATATGTGATATACCTCACTAATAGGATTAGATTGATAAATCACTGGCAGGTGATACTGTCTGTTAGTCAGTCAGAGTCATTAACCTCCAACATGATAGAGGTTCCTCCCTGAACACAGCTACAGTAAAACAGTCTGGAAATGCAGACAGGAAATTGTATTTTCTTTGCAGCATTTCTGTGTTGTTACAGATTATCATGTGAATCTGGTCTGGTGCAGTAAACAGGTGTGTGCAGGTGAATGAGGATAACTTACCTGCTACAACAATCAGATGTAAGGTGGAGTTATGGCGTCCTCTTCTGTTCTGGGCTTCACAGTAATAATTCCCAATGTGTTCAGGTCTGAAGGCAGTGATGGTGAAGTTCTGTCCTGATGCTTTTGGTGAGACTTCATCCTCCTTGTACCAGGTATAAGTAGCTGCTGGGTTAGCATCACTGCTACAGGTCAGAGTCACTGAACTGCCCTCCACTATCTCACCAGAGGGACTCACTGACACAGAGGGAACCCTCGGAGCATCTGGAGGAGATTTAGAGAGATCCATGTTATTCAGTTGCAATTTAAATTTAAATTTGATTGGTAAAGCGCCAATTCATGAGAAAAGTTTTCTCAGGACACTTTCAAAAAGAACAGGTCTAGACCGTACTCCTTATAAAATTATTTACAGAGACCCAACAGTTCCCACCATAAGCAAGGATTTGGCGACAAGGAAAAACGTCCTTTTAAGAGGCAGAAACCGCAGACAGACCAGATCATTCACATCAGATGATGATGTTATGTATTAGGCTGCATGTTAACATGTGTCATTTTGGATAGAGGGTACATACTATGTAAACAAACACGTGTATATTCATTTATTCTTCCCTGAAGATTGTCGATAACTATTCTGTTCCAAAAACACTAACACATAAACCAGGTACACTGTGACTACATGTTATGTGTCCTTTGAGCCACCAGGACAGCAGATTTGATCTTGTGTTGCACTTACACTGGACGTCTACTAATGGAGGCGATGACATGATCTGTCCATATTGATTCTCAGACTTGCAGTGGTAGATCCCTCTGTCCTCAGAGCTGATGGAGGTGAAATGATGAATACCTTCTGTTCCTTGAAACAGTGTTTGGTTCTCCTTGTACCAGGTATAATTAGCTGCTGGGTTAGCATCACTGCTACAGGTCAGAGTCACTGAACTGCCCTCCACTATCTCACCAGAGGGACTCACTGACACAGAGGGAACCCTCGGAGCATCTGGAAAAGACAAAAAGATGAAGACAGCTTTCTTTAGTGCTAAATGTGAACAATATGAAATGTTTCAGGTGGTGTTACGGACAGCAGACAGAGCTGAAGAAAGTATTAACAAAAATGATTCCTTGGTTTTGCAATTTAAAAATGTTTTTAATTCATTATCATATCATTATTAATTTTTTATATCGTTGAAAAATATTTTTTTTACTTAATTCATCTGTTCATTCTTAAAGGAGAGCGCAGCTGTTGACGTGTTAGTGTCAGTGTGTGTGTGTGTGTGTGTGTGTGTGTGTGTGTGTGTGTTTGTGTGTGTGTATATTGGGTTTTTTGAGCTCTCAACTCTAAAAGGACACTAATGTTCCCTTTACATTTTTAAGGACAACAGAATTAAATAATGTCAGACAAATAAGGTTGAAGTGTGTTGTTCATAGACCCCTATGGAAATACATAGAAGATGCGAAGAGACCCGGCCCGGAGGAAGCCCGGGGCCCCCGTCTGGAGCCAGGCCTGGAAGGGGAGCCCGAAAGAGAGCGCCTGGGGGTCGGGCTTGCCACGGAGCCTGGCCGGGCACAATGAGTGGCAGTAAAGGCAGAGGGCCTAGACAGACCAGACCCGGGCAGCAAAAGCTGGCTTTGGGGACGTGGAATGTCACTTCGCTGGGGGGGAAGGAGTCGGAACTGGTGCGGGAGGTGGAGCGCTATCAATTAGATCTGGTGGGGCTTACTTCTACGCACAGTCGAGACTCTGGATCCTTACTCCTGGATAGGGGTTGGACTTTATTCTTCTCTGGAGTTGCTCAAGGTGTGAGGTACCGGGCTGGTGTGGGGATACTGACTAGCCCCCGGCTGAGCACCGCTACGTTGGAGTTCACCCCGGTGGACAAGAGGGTAGCCTCCCTACGCCTACGATCTGTGGGGGGTGGAACTAGGACTGTTGTTTGTGATTATGCACCATTCTGCCTTCTTGGAGACCCTGAATGAAGTCCTGTATAGGGCTCCAGTAGGGGACTCTATCGTTCGCCTGGGAGACTTCAACGCACATGTGGGCAATGATGGAGATACTTGGAGGAGCTCGATTGGGAGGAACGGCCTCCCCGATTTTAACCAGAGTGGTGTTTTGTTGCTGGACTTCTGTGCTAGTCATGGATTGTCCATAACGAACACAATGTTCGTACAAAGGGATGCTCATAAGTGTACGTGGTACCAGAGCACCTTATGCCAAAGGTCTATGATCGATTTTGTGGTTGTATCATCAGACCTGAGGCCGCATGTATTGGACACTCGGGTAAAGAGAGGGGCGGAGCTGTCAACTGATCACTATCTGGTGGTGAGTTGGGTTAGATGGCGGGGGAAGCCACTGGACAGACCTGGTAAACCCAAAACGTGTAGTACGGGTGAACTGGGAATGTCTGGAGGAGGCCCCTGTCCGAGAGACCTTCAACTCCCACCTCCGGCGAGCTTCTCCTACATTCCTGTGGAGGCGTGGGACATCGAACCGGAGTGGTTGATGTTCAAAGCTTCTATTGCTGAAGCTACGGCTGTGAGCTGTGGTCTTAAGGTCTTGGGTGCTTCAAGGGCGGTAACCCTCGAACACGGTGGTCAGGGAAGCTGTCCGGCTGAAGAAGGAGGCCTTCCGGGATATGTTATCCCAGGGGACTCCTGAGGCAGTTGCAGGGTACCGGCAGGCCCAAAGGACTGCAGCCGCAGCTGTGGAAGCAAAACAGTGGGTGTGGGAGGAGTTCGGAGAAGTCATGGAGAAGGACTTTCAGACGGCACCCAGGCGCTTCTGGAAAACCGTCCGACACCTCAGGAGGGGGAAGCGGGGAACCATTCAAGCTGTGTACAGTGGGGATGGTACACTGCTGACCTCAACTGAGGAGTTAATTGGGCAGTGGAAGGAACACTTTGGGGAACTCCTGAACCCGACTAGACCAACAAACCCACCTTCTGTGATAGAGGCAGGGCTGAAGTGTGATGGGGGATCTGCATTAATTTCCCTGCGGGAAATCACTGAAGTAGTCAAACAACTCCACAGTGGCAAAGCCCCGGGGATTGATGAGATTTGTCCAGAAATGCTGAAGGCTCTGGGTGTTGAGGGGCTGTCTTGGTTGACCTGCCTTTTCAACATTGCGTGGAAGTCAGAGAAACGCCGAAGGAGTGGTGGACTGGGGTGGTGGTTCCCCTATTTAAAAAGGGGGACCAGAGGGTGTGTGCAAATTACAGAGTCATCACACTACTCAGCCTCCCTGGGAAAGTTTTCTCTAAGGTGCTGGAAAGGAGGGTCCAGACGATTGTCGAACCTCTGATTGAAGAAGAACAGTGCGGGTTCCGTCCTGGTCGTGGAACAACAGACCAACTCTTTACTCTTTCAGGTGTCCTGGAAGGGGCCTGGGAGTATGCCCATCCGGTCTACATGTGCTTTGTGGATTTGGAGAAGGCATATGACCGGGTTCCCAGGATATCCTGTGGGAAGTGCTGCGGGAGTATGGGGTGAGGGGGCCACTTCTCAGGGCCATCCAAGCCCTGTATTTCCAAAGCGAGAGTTGTGTCCGGATTCATGGTCGTAAGTCCCACTCCTTTCCAGTGGGTGTTGGCCTCTGCCAGGGCTGCGCTTTGTCACCAATCCTGTTTGTGACTTTCATGGACCGGATATCAAGGCGTAGTCGTGGGGGGGAGGGGTTGCAGTTTGGTGGGCTGAGGATTGCATCGCTGGTTTTTGCAGATGATGGGGTCCTGATGGCATCATCGGCCTGTGACCTTCAGCACTCACTGGATCGGTTTGCCGCTGAGTGTCAAGCGGCTGGGATGAGGATCAGCACCTCTAAATCGGAGGCCATGGTTCTCAGCAGGAAACCGGTGGATTGTCTACTCCGGGTAGGGAGTGAGTCCTTACCCCAAGTGAAGGAGTTCAAGTACCTCTGGGTTTTATTCACGAGTGAGGGTAAAATGGAGCAGGAGATTGGCCGGAGAATCGGGGTAGCAGGGGCGGTATTGCGGTCCCTTTATCGCACTGTTGTCACGAAAAGAGAGTTGAGCCGAAAGGCGAAGCACTCGATCTACCGGTCGATCTTTGTTCCTACCCTCACCTATGGTCATGAGAGATGGTTCGTGACCGAAAGAACGAGATCCCGGGTACAAGCAGCCGAAATGGGTTTCCTCAGGAGGGTGGCCGGCGTCTCCCTTAGGGATAGGGTGAGAAGTTCAGACACCCGCGAGGGACTCGGAGTAGAGCCGCTTCTCCTTTGCATCGAAAGTAGCCAGCTTAGTTGGTTTGGGCATCTGATGAGGATGCCTCCAGGGCGCCTCCTGAGGGAGGTGTTCCTGGCACGTCCAGCTGGGAGGAGGCCACGGGGCAGACCGAGGACCAGCTGGAGGGATTATATCTCAACACTGGCCTGGGAACACCTCGGGATCCCCCAGTCAGAGTTGGCCAATGTGGCCAGGGAAAGGGAAGTTTGGGGTCCCAAAGCGGATGAAGATGTATGTACGTATGTATGTATGTATGTATGTATGTGCTGTAACCACTGGAGTGATGGTCCTGATTGACTATTGATCAGCAGAGTTAGGTTGATATAGTTACTGATATGTTCCAGGTCAAAGTTGCTAATCAGAAAAATAGTGTTCTCCAGTGAATTTATGGTATCAAGTGATGATGTTGCTTCAGTTAATGTAACTGTGTGTGGAACAAAAAGCTCCTACAATCTTTAAAATGTTGCAACGCAATGAAATCCAGACAGCAATTTTATTTACTTGAAAATGTGTTTGGAAAAACGAAGTACTATATGAAGATCATGTCAGACATGGTTGATAACAGGACAGAAGTCTTTGCCCACATTGGATGTTGGATGGATATTTATGTGTGGGAGCATCTGAAACTGATGGTTTTCGGGATTGCTGATGGTTTGAATCCCTTGAACATCCGTACAGATCTGGGAGTCAATTGTAAATAAAACTGCCTTTTCATCATCTACTGTAGCTGCTCAGTGAACTACAGCAGCAGACTGTGAATGTGAAACAGACAGAGCTGAAGAAAGTGCATGATCAGCAAAACATCTGACTGAGTAATAAAGCTTTAAACAGTTGTCATTAGTTACAAGATGCTTTTTAAATCAACTGCGTTTTACTCACATTTCACATCAATAGAGGTGTAGTTCGATGTCATAATCCCCAGTTTGTTCTCAGCTGTACAGTTATACTCTCCAGAGTCAGAGGACTGGATGGACCTGAAGACAAACTGTGGTTCTTTACTGGGAGGTTGAAGGTATCGATTTCCATTCCTCTTGTACCAGGTATAATTAGCTGCTGGGTTAGCATCACTGCTACAGGTCAGAGTCACTGAACTGCCCTCCACTATCTCACCAGAGGGACTCACTGACACAGAGGGAACCCTCGGAGCATCTGGAGGACATAAAAAGATGAAGATAGCTTTCTTTGGTGCTACATGTTGTGAAGAATATGAAATGTTTCAGGTGGTGTTACTGGCAGCAGGCAGAGCTGAAGAAAGCATTGACAGGATTATTCATTGATTTTACAGCTTAAACATTTTTAAATTCATCATCATAATTTTCATGTCTTTGAAGAATACATTTGTTACCTTATTAATCTGTTCATTCTCAAAGCAGACTGCAGCTGTTGACATGTGTAGGTGTGTGTGTGTGTGTGTGTGTGTGTGTGTGTGTGTGTGTGTGTGTGTGTGTGTATTGGGTGATTTGAGCTATAAACATTCAACTCTAAAAGGAGACTAATGTTCCCATTACATTAACACACGACAGAATGAAATAATGTCAGACAAATAAGGTTGAAGTTTGTTGTAAACACTGAAGTGATGGTCCTGATTGACTATTGATCAGCAGAGTTAGGTTGATATAGTTACTGATATGTTCCAGGTCAAAGTTACTAATCAGAAAAATAACATGAAAATATGTTTCCTTTTCTGCAGTGAAAGCTTCCTCTACATTGGTGTTCTCCAGTGAATTTATGGTACCAACTGATGATGTTGGTTCAGTAAATGTAACTGTGTGTGGAACAAAAAGCTCCTACAATCCTTAAAATGTTGCATCACAATGAAATCCAGACAGCAATTTTGTTTACTTGAAAATGTGTTTGGAAAAACTAAGTACTATATGAAGATCATGTCAGACAGGGTTGATAACAGGACAGAAGTCTTTGGCCACATTGGATGTTGGATGGATATTTATGTGTGGGAGCATCTGAAACTGATGGTTTTCTGGATTACTGATGGTTTGAATCCCCTGAACATCCGTACAGATCTGGGAGCCAATTGTAAATAAAACTGCCTTTTCATCATATTGAGCATAGCGTTAGTTCAGGCAGGGCACGAAGTCAGGCTTAGCTTTCAGTTACAGCTATATCATACGATCACAGCTAGTCATAAACATACATCAGCTGATTCCTCTAAGCTTCCCATTGGATACTATACACAGTCAGCTGACAGCTCACCTGATTTCCTCAAGCATCCAATTGGCAAACATCATGCATGGCGCCTTATTTAAGCTGCTTTAGCCTGCCTGCCTATCTCTGCTGCTCCTCTACAAGCCTTTTGCCAGGATGTTGTGTGCGTTACTTGTGGTTTGTCGTTTGTTTCTACTTGTCCTGTCTGCGGTGAGTATCATGGCGGGTCGATTGCATCGTGAAGTCTCAGCAGCAATCTCGGCGTTGGGGGAGAGTGTCGCTTTTGAACAACAGTCTGTCCGGCTGCTCTGGTTCTGGGGGGTCTGCAGAAGGGGGGAGGATTACTCCTGCGGCTCCGCTGCGGCTCCGCTGCGGTCTCGGCTCCGGCTCCGGGTCCAGCGCTGCGCTGCCTTCCAGGGGAGCGCGGGTCCCAGGCGCAGCGGCCGGCTCCACCTGTCTTGCTTGTCAGCTCTGTCCAACATCCGGTTGTCGCTTGCCGTCATGGGTTCAAGGGTCCAGGGTTCGGTTCGGCACGTCAGGCCGGCCAGTCTTCGTCCGCAGTTGGCCTGTTTCCCTCTTCGCTGTCTGCAGGTAGAGCGCGTGGTCCCACAGGTGCAGCGCTTGACGATGACGTCACAGCAGCTTGTTTTGATGGCGTCACATTCCCGCCGAGAATGCTGGGAAGTGCAGTCCCAATCACCACAGGGAAGAACGTGCTGCCTCTCAAAAAGGGGGCATGAGAAATAAACCTTCAAGCCCAGTAAACGTCCCTGAGCTGGGGAAGGCGCAAGGAGAGCATCTAAACGCTGTTTAGTGAATTATCTGTTATAGGGCTGGTTCATGGTTCTTAGCTGGGCTGACTTGGTTGCCAAAACCTACAATCTGCTTTGAAGAGCTGACATAGTCGATGCTTTACTGAAGAAAGGATAACAAAAGGTTTATATTGGTCCATTCATAAATCGCCTTCTCAACAAGCATTAAGGTATAGCTACCAGGAAATATTCAGGGAAAATAAATAAACATAATTATTAATTTATCTGCTCTGCAAAGGCGAAACTAAGGCATAAATAGTTTAAATCCTCTGGCACTTTTTCCTTATTTTATGCTATTAAAGAAGCATGTAGAGGCGCATGGCTAGCCAAGGCAGATGTCACAGATGCATTTAAGTCCTGCATTACACCTTCACATTGGCATCTGTTTGGTTTAAATGAAGAGAAATGTACTTCTCAGTTAGGCTCACCTTTGGTTGTTACAGCAGCCCCACATATTTGACACTTGTCAGAGGCTCTCTGCTGGATTCTTTTAATAACTGCAACTGCTTTCGTGCTCCATCTCGTAGACGATTTTCTGTTAGTTGACTACCAATTCAAAATCAGACCATGCATTTTTGCTCTTAACTATACCTTTTTAACATTAGGTCTTCTGCTATCCAAGGAGAAACATCAGGCCCTGTAAGGCTAGAGTTCTAGGCTTCGCTCTAGATAGTGTACTGATGCATCACATCAGAGAGGTAATGAAAGCAGCAGGCAGTAGTAATTGCCAAAAGAACTGCTCTCCTTGCTTAGACATCTTAATTGGCATGTGTGATATAAGGGAAGTTCCCTTATATCCAGGCTTCTGGACCTCTCCGATTTATAGAGCACTCCATGATATGGTGAGCTTGGATGAGGGCTGCAGATCCGAGCCCCAGTCCTGATCTCTTCTGTGTGATAAATGGTATGGCATCTCCTTATTTTACAATGAGCAGCTAAGATCATCATTTGCCATTAATTAGAAAAAGACGCAGCATATTGAGTACATATAAATGAATCGAACACTGTGTGCCAGTTCACCCTGGGAGCTTTATGTCAACAGCAAGGTCTAATAGTGTGACTGCTATGATCTACTAGATCACTAATGAACAGCTTTGCTAAGCTTAGAAGACAGGGAGCACACATGTGGGGCATTTAGGGTCATGATATACTGTATGATAACCGCCCTTCCGTAGGTTTTTGGGGGGTATTTTTTAATAATCAGTGGTTCACAGACATATGGCTAAAATACTGTCATCTCGCCAGCTAATGCCTCTTCTACCTTTTTAATGAATGTACCAATTGTTGTTTCATATTTCTGTGGGGAAAAGACTGGTCAAGGAAACAATCATGTTTTTGCGACAATGAGGCAACTGCCAACATCATTTACAAGGGCGTTCTTCAGTTCCATTCATTAATAGATTTGTAAGGCGCCTCACTTGGTTATCTATGTTGGGTAAATTCATTATTAGAGCATCTCCTATTCCATGCTTGGATAACAATTGCTGATTTTGTACCGGTTTGAATTGCAGAATTTCGCCAGCTGTGCCCGGAGGCAGCGCCATCCAGCCTGACTTGCCCCCCATTTTCTCAAACCGTGTTAGACAAACACAACCATGCAATCCTACAGGCTATCTACTGCTCAGTATATGCGATCTGGCTTAGCTAATCTACATTAAATAACTCCTCCATTCAATTCACATAGGAGCAGCAACAAATGCAGCATCTGTAGCTCCTGTCTCGACGCTAAGGCTATGGGTAAATGTTCATTATCTGCTACGAACGATACCTGCTGCCTAAGGCCAAGCAATTCTTGATGCTCAAAAAGGCAATGAGTGCCCTGTAATTCCGGCTTAAATTCATTAATGTATAGCAATTTCTGGGGATATCTCTAGTATACTTAGCCATGTACTTCAACTAGTGTCTGCTTAGACGTAATGGTTTATAGTCCTGCTGGCTCCTCTTACTGGCACTTCCATGTAGCTCATGGAAGGGAGGTTGCCTGGTGTGGTTCTTTGGGGGTCTCTGCTGCCGCTCTCCTTGTCTTAAACTTTTCTGTGAATGCACATGGAAGGGCAGGGAGATGTGCTCTCCCTGCCTTAAGGTTTTCCACGTAGGCATGTGGAAGGACAAGGAGGTCCCATACAGAGCCACACCACCAAATATAACAGTCTGTTTGGGAAATATGTTTTGCTGGCTTAATTTAAATATTCTTCTAGCATAACTTTTTAGGGATCTCTTTATTAATCCTCAGCCAAGTTACTTAAACTAGTATCTGCACAAATTATTGGCTTTATTACTGTTATTCATTTCTTACAAACTTTGCGCTGCTGGCTCCTCTTACTGGCACTTCCATGTAGCTCATGGAAGGGAGGTTGCCTGGTATGGTTCTTTGGGGGTCTCTGCTGCCGCTCTCCTTGTCTTAAACTTTTCCATGTATGCACATGGAAGGGCAGGGAGGTGTGCTCTCCCTGCCTTAAGGTTTTCTATGTAGGCACGCGGAAGGACAAGGAGGTCCCAGAACAGAGCCATACCGCCAAATGTAATTCTGCTTGGAATATAAGATATTTTGACGAAAGTGGTCCTGACTGAAATTGAGCATAGCGTTAGTTCAGGCAGGGCACGAAGTCAGGCTTAGCTTTCAGTTACAGCTATATCATACGATCACAGCTAGTCATAAACATACATCAGCTGATTCCTTTAAGCTTCCCATTGGATACTATACACAGTCAGCTGACAGCTCACCTGATTTCCTCAAGCATCCAATTGGCAAACATCATGCATGGCGCCTTATTTAAGCTGCTTTAGCCTGCCTGCCTATCTCTGCTGCTCCTCTACAAGCCTTTTGCACCCACCTCCACCCCAGCTCCTCCTTTTTATGTTGTTTCTAATTAATCAATGTCATTTTCTGATTGCCATTGATGCTGCTCTGTTCTGTACCCTGGGGGTCTCTGCTGCCACTCTCCTTGTCTTAAACTTTTCCATGTATGCACATGGAAGGGCAGGGAGAGCACACCTCCCTTAAGGTTTTCCACGTAGGCACGCGGAAGGACAAGGAGGTCCCAGAACAGAGCCATACCGCCAAATGTAATTCTGCTTGGAATATAAGATATTTTGACGAAAGTGGTCCTGACTGAACTACTGTAGCTGCTCAGTGAACTACAGCAGCAGACTGTGAATGTGAAACAGACAGAGCTGAAGAAAGTGCATGATCAGCAAAACATCTGACTGAGTAATAAAGCTTTAAACAGTTGTCATTAGTTACAAGATGCTTTTTAAATCAGCTGCATTTTACTCACATTTCACATTAATAGAGATGTAGTTAGATGTTCTACTCCCAAGTTTATTCTCAGCCGTACAGTTATACTCTCCAGAGTCAGAGGACTGGATGGACCTGAAGACAAACTGTGGTTCTTTACTGGTAGGTTGAAGGTATCGATTTCCATTCCTCTTGCACCAGGTATAACTAGCTGCTGGGTTAGCATCACTGCTACAGGTCAGAGTCACTGAACTGCCCTCCACTATCTCACCAGAGGGACTCACTGACACAGAGGGAACCCTCGGAGCATCTGGAGGAGATTTCAAGAGATCCAGATCATTCACATCAGATGATGATGTTATGTATTAGGCTGCATGTTAACATGTGTCATTTTGGATAGAGGGTACATACTATGTAAACAAACACGTGTATATTTATTTATTCTTCCTTGAAGATTGTCGATAACTATTCTGTTCCAAAACCACTAACACATAAACCAGGTACACTGTGACTACATGTTATGTGTCCTTTGAGCCACCAGGACAGCAGATTTGATCTTGTGTTGCACTTACACTGGACGTCTACTAATGGAGGCGATGACATGATCTGTCCATATTGATTCTCAGACTTGCAGTGGTAGATCCCTCTGTCCTCAGAGCTGATGGAGGTGATATGAAAAATACCTTCTGGTCCTTGAAACAGTGTTTGGTTCTCCTTGTACCAGGTATAAGTAGCTGCTGGGTTAGCATCACTGCTACAGGTCAGATTCACTGAACTGCCCTCCACTATCTCACCAGAGGGTCTCACTGACACAGAGGGAACCCTCGGAGCATCTGCAAAAGATATTAAGATGAAGACAGTTTTCTTTAGTGCTAAATGTTGTGAAGAATATGAAATGTTTCAGGTGGTGTTACTGGCAGCAGACAGAGCTGAAGAAAGTATTAACAAAAATTATTCCTTGGTTTTACAGTTTAAAAATGTTTTTTATTCATTATCATATATTAATTTTTTACATCGTTGAAAAATATTTTCTTTACTTAATTTATCTGTTCATTCTTAAAGCAGAGCGCATCTGTTGACGTGTTAGTGTCAGTGTGTGTGTGTGTGTGTGTGTGTGTGATTGGGTTGTTTGAGCTCTCAACTCTAAAAGGACACTAATGTTCCCTTTACATTTTTAAGGACAACAGAATTAAATAATGTCAGACAAATAAGGTTGAAGTGTGTTGTTCATAGACCCCTATGGAAAAACATAGAAGATGCAAAGAGACCCGGCCCGGAGGAAGCCTGGGGCCCCTGTCTGGAGCCAGGCCTGGAAAGGAGGCCCGAAAGAGAGCACCTGGGGGTCGGGCTTGCCATGAAGCCTGGCCGGGCACAGCCCGAAGGAGTGACGTGGCCTCATCTTCTTCCCGCGGGCCCACCACTCACGGGAGAAACCATTGGGGTCAGGTGCAATGCCAAATGAGTGGCAGTAAAGGCAGAGGGCCTAGACAGACCAGACCCGGGCAGCAAAAGTTGGCTTTGGGGACGTGGAATGTCACTTCGCTGGGGGGGAAGGAGCCGGAACTGGTGCGGGAGGTGGACCGCTATCAATTAGATCTGGTGGGGCTTACTTCTACGCACAGTCGAGACTCTGGATCCTTACTCCTGGAACATGGTGATGGACACCGGTGGTCAGGGAAGATGTCCGACTGAAGAAGGAGGCCTTCTGGGACCTCTGATTGAAGAAGAACAGTGCGGGTTCCGTCCTGGTCGTGGAACAACAGACCAACTCTTTACTCTTCCAGGTGTCCTGGAAGGGGTCTGGGAGTATGCCCATCCGGTCTACATGTGCTTTGTGGATTTGGAGAAGGCATATGACCGGGTTCCCCTGGATATCCTGTGGGAAGTGCTGCGGGAGTATGGGGTGAGGGGGCCACTTCTCAGGGCCATCCAAGCCATGTATTTCCAAAGCGAGAGTTGTGTCCGGATTCTTGGTCGTAAGTCGGACTCGTTTTCAGTGGGTGCTGGCCTCTGCCAGGGCTGCGCTTTGTCACCAATCCTGTTTGTGACTTTCATGGACAGGATATTGAGGCGTAGTCGTGGGGGGGAGGGGTTGCAGTTTGGTGGGCTGAGGATTGCATCGCTGCTTTTTGCTGATGATGTGGTCCTGATGGCATCATCGGCCTGTGGACTTCAGCACTCAGTGGATCGGTTTGCAGCTGAGTGTCAAGCGGCTGGGATGAGGATCAGCACCTCTAAATCGGAGGCCATGGTTCTCAGGAGGAAACCGGTGGATTGTCTACTCCGGGTAGGGAGTGAGTCCTTACCCCAAATGAAGGAGTTCAAGTACCTCTGGGTTTTGTTCACGAGTGAGGGTAGAATGGAGCAGGAGATTGGCCGGAGAATCGGGGCAGCAGGGGCGGTATTGTAGTCCCCTTATCGCACTGTTGTCACGAAAAGAGAGTTGAGCCGAAAGGCGAAACTCTCGATCTACCGGTCGATCTTTGTTCCTACCCTCACCTATGGTCATGAGAGATGGGTTGTGACCGAAAGAACGAGATCCCGGGTACAAGCGTCCGAAATGGGTTTCCTCAGGAGGGTGGCCGGCGTCTCCCTTAGGGATTGGGTGAGAAGTTCGGACACCCACGAGGGACGCGGAGTAGAGCCGCTTCTCCTTTGCGTCGAAAAGAGCCAGCTTAGATGTTTCGGGCATCTGATGAGGATGCCTCCAGGGCGCCTCCCGAGGGAGGTGTTCCTGGCACGTCCAGCTGGGAGGAGGCCACGGGGCAGACCGAGGACCGGGTGGAGGGATTATATCTCAACACTGGCCTGGGAACGCCTCGGGATCCCCCAGTCAGAGTTGGCCGATGTGGCCAGGGAAAGGGAAGTTTGGGGTCCCCTGCTGAACTTGCTACACCCGCGACCCGACCCCGGATAAGCGGATGAAGATATATGTATGTATGTATGTATGTATGTGTGTTGTAAACACTGGATTGATGGTCCTGATTGACCATTGATCAGCAGAGTTAGGTTGATATAGTTACTGATATATTCCAGGTCAAAGTTGCTTATCAGAAAAGTAACAAAAAAACAAAAACAAAATATGTTTCCTTCTCTGCTGTGAAAGCTTCCTCTACATTGGTGTTCTTCTGTGAATTTATGGTACCAACTGATGATGTTGGTTCAGTAAATGTAACTGTGTGTGGAACAAAAAGCTCCTACAATCCTTAAAATGTTGCAACGCAATGAAATCCAGACAGCAATTTTGTTTACTTGAAAATGTGTTTGGAAAAACTAAGTACTATATGAAGATCATGTCAGACAGGGTTGATAACAGGACAGAAGTCTTTGGCCACATTGGATGTTGGATGGATATTTATGTGTGGGAGCATCTGAAACTTTACTGATGGTTTTCGGGATTGCTGATGGTTTGAATCCCCTGAACATCTGTACAGATCTGGGAGCCAATTGTAAATAAAACTGCCTTTTCATCATCTACTGTAGCTGCTCAGTGAACTACAGCAGCAGACTGTGAATGTGAAACAGACAGAGCTGAAGAAAGTGCATGATCAGCAAAACATCTGACTGAGTAATAAAGCTTTAAACAGTTGTCATTAGTTACAAGATGCTTTTTAAATCAGCTGCATTTTACTCACATTTCACATTAATAGAGGTGTAGTTAGATGTCATAATCCCCAGTTTGTTCTCAGCTGTACAGTTATACTCTCCAGAGTCAGAGGACTGGATGGACCTGAAGACAAGCTGTGGTTCTTTACTGGGAGGTTGAAGGTATTGATTTCCATTCCTCTTGTACCAGGTATAATTAGCTGCTGGGTTAGCATCACTGCTACAGGTCAGAGTCACTGAACTGCCCTCCACTATCTCACCAGAGGGACTCACTGACACAGAGGGAAGCTTTGGAGCATCTGGAGGAGATTTAGAGAGATCCATGTCAGTAACATCAGATAATAATGTATGTATTAAATGTCTTGGCTATGTCACATGTTTCATTTTGGATGGAGGGCATGTATTTTGTCCTTAGCCTTTTCTAGAGATACCATTTTCTGTCTGTCAACAACTAAAGACATCAGTTAACACAGTCAGCACTTTGGTCAACTCAGGTTGTTTTTAATGTGCTATATGAATAAACTTGATTTGATTATTTGATTTGAACAATAAATCCACATTACTTGTTTGGAGATTGTCAATAATTCTGTGCATAAAACATTAAGATGTGATCCAGGTACACTGTTGCTACATGTCATATGCCCCTTACTGCTGGGCCACCAGGACAGCAGATTTGTTCTTGTGTTGCACTTACACTGGACATCTACTAATAGAGGCGATGACATGATCTGTCCATATTGATTCTCAGAGCTGCAGTGGTAGATCCCTCTGTCCTCAGAGCTGATGGAGGTGAAATGATGAATACCTTCTGGTCCTTGAAACAGTGTTTGGTTCTCCTTGTACCAGGTATAATTAGCTGCTGGGTTAGCATCACTGCTACAGGTCAGATTCACTGAACTTCCCTCCACTATCTCACCAGAGGGTCTCACTGACACAGAGGGAACCCTCGGAGCATCTGCAAAAAATAAAAAGATGAAGATAGCTTTCTTTAGTGCTACATGTTGTGAAGAATATGACATGTTTCAGGTGGTGTTACTGGCAGCAGGCAGAGCTGAAGAAAGCATTAACAAAATTATTCCATGGTTTTACAGCTTAAAACTATTCTGAAATATATCATAATATATTAAATTGAGTGTGTGTGTGTGTGTGTGTGTGTGTGTGTGTGTATTGGGTTATTTGAGCTATAAACCATCAACTCTGAAAGGACACTAATGTTCCCTTTTACATTTTTAAGGACAACAGAATGAAATAATGTCAGACAAATAAGGTTGAAGTGTGTTGTAAACACTGAAGTGATGGTCCTGATTGACTATTGATCAGCAGAGTTAGGTCGATATAGTTACTGATATGTTCCAGGTCAAAGTTGCTAATCCGAAAAATAACATCACAATATGTTTCCTTTTCTGCAGTCAAAGCTTCCTCTACATTGGTGTTCTCCAGTGAATTTATGGTACCAACTGATGATGTTGGTTCAGTAAATGTAACTGTGTGTGGAACAAAAAGCTCCTACAATCCTTAAAATGTTGCATCACAATGAAATCCAGACAGCAATTTTGTTTACTTGAAAATGTGTTTGGAAAAACTAAGTACTATATGAAGATCATGTCAGACAGGGTTGATAACAGGACAGAAGTCTTTGCCCACATTGGATGTTGGATGGATATTTATGTGTGGGAGCATCTGAAACTTTAGATGGTTTTCTGGATTACTGATGGTTTGAATCCCCTGAACATCCGTACAGATCTGGGAGCCAATTGTAAATAAAACTGCCTTTTCATCATCTACTGTAGCTGCTCAGTGAACTACAGCAGCAGACTGTGAATGTGAAACAGACAGAGCTGAAGAAAGTGCATGATCAGCAAAACATCTGACTGAGTAATAAAGCTTTAAACAGTTGTCATTAGTTACAAGATGCTTTTTAAATCAGCTGTATTTTACTCACATTTCACATTAATAGAGGTGTAGTTAGATGTCATAATCCCCAGTTTGTTCTCAGCTGTACAGTTATACTCTCCAGAGTCAGAGGACTGGATGGACCTGAAGACAAGCTGTGGTTCTTTACTGGGAGGTTGAAGGTATTGATTTCCATTCCTCTTGTACCAGGTATAATTAGCTGCTGGGTTAGCATCACTGCTACAGGTCAGAGTCACTGAACTGCCCTCCACTATCTCACCAGAGGGACTCACTGACACAGAGGGAAGCTTTGGAACATCTGGAGGAGATTTAGAGAGATCCATGTCAGTAACATCAGATAATAATGTATGTATTAAATGTCTTGGCTATGTCACATGTTTCATTTTGGATGGAGGGCATGTATTTTGTCCTTAGCCTTTTCTAGAGATACGATTTTCTGTCTGTCAACAACTAAAGACATCAGTTAACACAGTCAGCACTTTGGTCAACTCAGGTTGTTTTTAATGTGCTATATGAATAAACTTGATTTGATTATTTGATTTGAACAATAAATTCACTTTACTTGTTTGGAGATTGTCAATAACTATTCTGTGCATAAAACATTAAGATGTGATCCAGGTACACTGTTGCTACATGTCATATGCCCCTTACTGCTGGGCCACCAGGACAGCAGATTTGATCTTGTGTTGCACTTACACTGGACATCTACTGATAGAGGCGATGACATGATCTGTCCATATTGATTCTCAGAGCTGCAGTGGTAGATCCCTCTGTCCTCAGAGCTGATGGAGGTGAAATGATGAATACCTTCTGTTCCTTGAAACAGTGTTTGGTTCTCTTTGTACCAGGTATATGAAGCTGCTGGGTTAGCATCACTGCTACAGGTCAGATTCACTGAACTTCCCTCCACTATCTCACCAGAGGGTCTCACTGACACAGAGGGAACCCTCGGAGCATCTGCAAAAAATAAAAAGATGAAGATAGCTCTCTTTAGTGCTACATGTTGTGAAGAATATGACATGTTTCAGGTGGTGTTACTGGCAGCAGGCAGAGCTGAAGAAAGCATTAACAAAATTATTCCATGGTTTTACAGCTTAAAACTATTCTGAAATATATCATAATATATTAAATTGAGTATGTGTGTGTGTGTGTGTGTGTGTGTGTGTGTGTGTGTGTGTGTGTGTGTGTATTGGGTTATTTGAGCTATAAACCATCAACTCTGAAAGGACACTAATGTTCCCTTTTACATTTTTAAGGACAACAGAATGAAATAATGTCAGACAAATAAGGTTGAAGTGTGTTGTAAACACTGAAGTGATGGTCCTGATTGACTATTGATCAGCAGAGTTAGGTCGATATAGTTACTGATATGTTCCAGGTCAAAGTTGCTAATCAGAAAAATAACATCACAATATGTTTCCTTTTCTGCAGTCAAAGCTTCCTCTACATTGGTGTTCTCCAGTGAATTGATGGTACCAACTGATGATGTTGGTTCAGTAAATGTAACTGTGTGTGGAACAAAAAGCTCCTACAATCCTTAAAATGTTGCAACACAATGAAATCCAGACAGCAATTTTGTTTACTTGAAAATGTGTTTGGAAAAACTAAATACTATATGAAGATCATGTCAGACAGGGTTGATAACAGGACAGAAGTCTTTGGCCACATTGGATGTTGGATGGATATTTATGTGTGGGAGCATCTGAAACTTTACTGATGGTTTTCGGAATTGCTGATGGTTTGAATCCCCTGAACATCCGTACAGATCTGGGAGCCAATTGTAAATAAAACTGCCTTTTCATCATCTACTGTAGCTGCTCAGTGAACTACAGCAGCAGACTGTGAATGTGAAACAGACAGAGCTGAAGAAAGTGCATGATCAGCAAAACATCTGACTGAGTAATAAAGCTTTAAACAGTTGTCATTAGTTACAAGATGCTTTTTAAATCAGCTGCATTTTACTCACATTTCACATTAATAGAGGTGTAGTTAGATGTCATAATCCCCAGTTTGTTCTCAGCTGTACAGTTAAACTCTCCAGAGTCAGAGGACTGGATGGACCTGAAGACAAGCTGTGGTTCTTTACTGGTAGGTTGAAGGTATTGATTTCCATTTCTCTTGTACCAGGTATAATTAGCTGCTGGGTTAGCATCACTGCTACAGGTCAGAGTCACTGAACTGCCCTCCACTATCTCACCAGAGGGACTCACTGACACAGAGGGAACCCTTGGAGCATCTGGAGGAGATTTCAGAGAGATCCAGATCATTCACATCAGATGATGATGTTATGTATTAAAGGCTAGTCACATGTTTCATTTTAGGAGGGCATGTTTTTGTCCTTAGCCTTTTTAGAGATAGCAGTTGTGTACATCACTAATCAGTAAACAAACACACGTTGGTATAAGTTTATTTATTCTTCCCTAGAATAAACTTGATTGATTTTGATAACATAAATTCACATTACTTGTTCGGAAAATGTCAATAACACATAAAACATAAAGATGTGATCCAGGTACACTGTGACTACATGTTATGTGTCCCCTTCTGAGCCACCAGGACAGCAGATTTGATCTTGTGTTGCACTTACACTGGACGTCTACTGATAGAGGCGATGACATGATCTGTCCATATTGATTCTCAGAGCTGCAGTGGTAGATCCCTCTGTCCTCAGAGCTGATGGAGGTGAAATGATGAATACCTTCTGGTCCTTGAAACAGTGTTTGGTTCTCCTTGTACCAGGTATAATTAGCTGCTGGGTTAGCATCACTGCTACAGGTCAGATTCACTGAACTTCCCTCCACTATCTCACCAGAGGGACTCACTGACACAGAGGGAACCCTCGGAGCATCTGCAAAAAATAAAAAGATGAAGATAGCTTTCTTTAGTGCTACATGTTGTGAAGAATATGACATGTTTCAGGTGGTGTTACTGGCAGCAGGCAGAGCCGAAGAAAGCATTCACAAAATTATTCCATGGTTTTACAGCTTAAAACTATTCTGAAATATATCATAATATATTAAATTGAGTGTGTGTGTGTGTGTGTGTGTGTGTGTATTGGGTTATTTGAGCTATAAACCATCAACTCTAAAAGGAGACTAATGTTCCCATTACATTAACACACGACAGAATGAAATAATGTCAGAGAAATAAGGTTGAAGTTTGTTGTAAACACTGAAGTGATGGTCCTAATTGACTATTGATCAGCAGAGTTAGGTCGATATAGTTACTGATATGTTCCAGGTCAAAGTTGCTAATCCGAAAAATAACATGAAAATATGTTTCCTTTTCTGCAGTGAAAGCTTCCTCTACATTGGTGTTCTCCAGTGAATTTATGGTACCAACTGATGATGTTGGTTCAGTAAATGTAACTGTGTGTGGAACAAAAAGCTCCTACAATCCTTAAAATGTTGCATCACAATGAAATCCAGACAGCAATTTTGTTTACTTGAAAATGTGTTTGGAAAAACTAAGTACTATATGAAGATCATGTCAGACAGGGTTGATAACAGGACAGAAGTCTTTGGCCACATTGGATGTTGGATGGATATTTATGTGTGGGAGCATCTGAAACTGATGGTTTTCGGGATTGCTGATGGTTTGAATCCCCTGAACATCTGTACAGATCTGGGAGCCAATTGTAAATAAAACTGCCTTTTCATCATCTACTGTAGCTGCTCAGTGAACTACAGCAGCAGACTGTGAATGTGAAACAGAAAGAGCTGAAGAAAGTGCATGATCAGCAAAACATCTGACTGAGTAATAAAGCTTTAAACAGTTGTCATTAGTTACAAGATGCTTTTTAAATCAGCTGCATTTTACTCACATTTCACATTAATAGAGGTGTAGTTAGATGTCATAATCCCCAGTTTGTTCTCAGCTGTACAGTTATACTCTCCAGAGTCAGAGGACTGGATGGACCTGAAGACAAGCTGTGGTTCTTTACTGGGAGGTTGAAGGTATTGATTTCCATTCCTCTTGTACCAGGTATAATTAGCTGCTGGGTTAGCATCACTGCTACAGGTCAGAGTCACTGAACTGCCCTCCACTATCTCACCAGAGGGACTCACTGACACAGAGGGAAGCTTTGGAACATCTGGAGGAGATTTCAAGAGAGATCCATGTCAGTAACATCAGATAATAATGTATGTATTAAATGTCTTGGCTATGTCACATGTTTCATTTTGGATGGAGGGCATGTATTTTGTCCTTAGCCTTTTCTAGAGATACCATTTTCTGTCTGTCAACAACTAAAGACATCAGTTAACACAGTCAGCACTTTGGTCAACTCAGGTTGTTTTAAATGTGCTATATGAATAAACTTGATTTGATTATTTGATTTGAACAGTAAATTCACATTACTTGTTTGGAGATTGTCAATAACTATTCTGTGCATAAAACATTAAGATGTGATCCAGGTACACTGTTGCTACATGTCATATGCCCCTTACTGCTGGGCCACCAGGACAGCAGATTTGATCTTGTGTTGCACTTACACTGGACATCTACTGATAGAGGCGATGACATGATCTGTCCATATTGATTCTCAGAGCTGCAGTGGTAGATCCCTCTGTCCTCAGAGCTGATGGAGGTGAAATTATGAATACCTTCTGTTCCTTGAAACAGTGTTTGGTTCTCTTTGTACCAGGTATAATTAGCTCCTGGGTTAGCATCACTGCTACAGGTCAGATTCACTGAACTTCCCTCCACTATCTCACCAGAGGGTCTCACTGACACAGAGGGAACCCTCGGAGGATCTGCAAAAAATAAAAAGATGAAGATAGCTCTCTTTAGTGCTACATGTTGTGAAGAATATGACATGTTTCAGGTGGTGTTACTGGCAGCAGGCAGAGCTGAAGAAAGCATTAACAAAATTATTCCATGGTTTTACAGCTTAAAACTATTCTGAAATATATCATAATATATTAAATTGAGTATGTGTGTGTGTGTGTGTGTGTGTGTGTGTGTGTGTGTGTGTGTGTATTGGGTTATTTGAGCTATAAACCATCAACTCTGAAAAGGAGACTAATGTTCCCTTTACATTTTTAAGGACAACAGAATGAAATAATGTCAGACAAATAAGGTTGAAGTGTGTTGTAAACACTGAAGTGATGGTCCTGATTGACTATTGATCAGCAGAGTTAGGTCGATATAGTTACTGATATGTTCCAGGTCAAAGTTGCTAATCAGAAAAATAACATCACAATATGTTTCCTTTTCTGCTGTGAAAGCTTCCTCTACATTGGTGTTCTCCAGTGAATTTATGGTACCAACTGATGATGTTGGTTCAGTAAATGTAACTGTGTGTGGAACAAAAAGCTCCTACAATCCTTAAAATGTTGCAACACAATGAAATCCAGACAGCAATTTTGTTTACTTGAAAATGTGTTTGGAAAAACTAAGTACTATATGAAGATCATGTCAGACAGGGTTGATAACAGGACAGAAGTCTTTGGACACATTGGAGTTGGATGGATATTTATGTGTGGGAGCATCTGAAACTTTACTGATGGTTTTCGGGAATTGCTGATGGTTTGAATCCCCTGAACATCCGTACAGATCTGGGAGCCAATTGTAAATAAAACTGCCTTTTCATCATCTACTGTAGCTGCTCAGTGAACTACAGCAGCAGACTGTGAATGTGAAACAGACAGAGCTGAAGAAAGTGCATGATCAGCAAAACATCTGACTGAGTAATAAAGCTTTAAACAGTTGTCATTAGTTACAAGATGCTTTTTAAATCAGCTGCATTTTACTCACATTTCACATTAATAGAGGTGTAGTTAGATGTCATAATCCCCAGTTTGTTCTCAGCTGTACAGTTATACTCTCCAGAGTCAGAGGACTGGATGGACCTGAAGACAAGCTGTGGTTCTTTACTGGGAGGTTGAAGGTATTGATTTCCATTCCTCTTGTACCAGGTATAATTAGCTGCTGGGTTAGCATCACTGCTACAGGTCAGAGTCACTGAACTGCCCTCCACTATCTCACCAGAGGGACTCACTGACACAGAGGGAAGCTTTGGAACATCTGGAGGAGATTTAGAGAGATCCATGTCAGTAACATCAGATAATAATGTATGTATTAAATGTCTTGGCTATGTCACATGTTTCATTTTGGATGGAGGGCATGTATTTTGTCCTTAGCCTTTTCTAGAGATACCATTTTCTGTCTGTCAACAACTAAAGACATCAGTTAACACAGTCAGCACTTTGGTCAACTCAGGTTGTTTTTAATGTGCTATATGAATAAACTTGATTTGATTATTTGATTTGAACAATAAATTCACATTACTTGTTTGGAGATTGTCAATAATTCTGTGCATAAAACATTAAGATGTGATCCAGGTACACTGTTGCTACATGTCATATGCCCCTTACTGCTGGGCCACCAGGACAGCAGATTTGATCTTGTGTTGCACTTACACTGGACATCTACTGATAGAGGCGATGACATGATCTGTCCATATTGATTCTCAGAGCTGCAGTGGTAGATCCCTCTGTCCTCAGAGCTGATGGAGGTGAAATTATGAATACCTTCTGGTCCTTGAAACAGTGTTTGGTTCTCTTTGTACCAGGTATAATTAGCTGCTGGGTTAGCATCACTGCTACAGGTCAGATTCACTGAACTTCCCTCCACTATCTCACCAGAGGGTCTCACTGACACAGAGGGAACCCTCGGAGGATCTGCAAAAAATAAAAAGATGAAGATAGCTCTCTTTAGTGCTACATGTTGTGAAGAATATGACATGTTTCAGGTGGTGTTACTGGCAGCAGGCAGAGCTGAAGAAAGCATTAACAAAATTATTCCATGGTTTTACAGCTTAAAACTATTCTGAAATATATCATAATATATTAAATTGAGTATGTGTGCGTGTGTGTGTGTGTGTGTGTGTGTGTGTGTGTGTGTGTGGTGTGTGATTGGGTTATTTGAGCTATAAACCATCAACTCTAAAAGGAGACTAATGTTCCCTTTTACATTTTTAAGGACAACAGAATGAAATAATGTCAGACAAATAAGGTTGAAGTGTGTTGTAAACACTGAAGTGATGGTCCTGATTGACTATTGATCAGCAGAGTTAGGTCGATATAGTTACTGATATGTTCCAGGTCAAAGTTGCTAATCAGAAAAATAACATCACAATATGTTTCCTTTTCTGCAGTCAAAGCTTCCTCTACATTGGTGTTCTCCAGTGAATTTATGGTACCAACTGATGATGTTGGTTCAGTAAATGTAACTGTGTGTGGAACAAAAAGCTCCTACAATCCTTAAAATGTTGCAACACAATGAAATCCAGACAGCAATTTTGTTTACTTGAAAATGTGTTTGGAAAAACTAAATACTATATGAAGATCATGTCAGACAGGGTTGATAACAGGACAGAAGTCTTTGGCCACATGTTGGATGGATATTTATGTGTGGGAGCATCTGAAACTTTACTGATGGTTTTCGGAATTGCTGATGGTTTGAATCCCCTGAACATCCGTACAGATCTGGGAGCCAATTGTAAATAAAACTGCCTTTTCATCATCTACTGTAGCTGCTCAGTGAACTACAGCAGCAGACTGTGAATGTGAAACAGACAGAGCTGAAGAAAGTGCATGATCAGCAAAACATCTGACTGAGTAATAAAGCTTCAAACAGTTGTCATTAGTTACAAGATGCTTTTTAAATCAGCTGCATTTTACTCACATTTCACATTAATAGAGGTGTAGTTAGATGTTCTCCCCAGCTCGTTCTCAGCTGTACAGTAATACTCTCCAGAGTCAGAGGGCTGGATGGACCTGAAGACAAGCTGTGGTTCTTTACTGGGAGGTTGAAGGTATTGATTTCCATTCCTCTTGTACCAGGTATAATTAGCTGCTGGGTTAGCATCACTGCTACAGGTCAGAGTCACTGAACTGTTCTCCACTATCTCACCAGAGGGACTCACTGACACAGAGGGAACCCTCGGAGCATCTGTAAAAGATATTAACATGAGTTACTTAAACATTAGAAAATTGTTATCACAAACAAAATTTTTGTTTTTAAAATAAAAAGTGTATAAAGACTTTTCCTGACACAGAGGAGTAAACTCACACACTGTGGGAGAGGGGTGATTTTGATGTCCCATCAAGGCACAAGAGATAATGTCTGTGTGAGAAAACCAGGCTTTATAAGAAGATGTCCTTGGCCATGTGATTTTCATTCCATTGTTGAACCAGATGTAGGAAAAACGACCATCTGGACTGCAGCTGCTGTGACACTTCAGCTCTGCCTCAGTATAATACTGATGGACTTTTATTCTGGTCACCTGAACCTGCAGAGCTGGATATAAGAACAAGAATCAATATTATTATCACTGGTTCTAAAAGAAATGTCTGATAGATGTACATACACATCAACACAACAGTTACAATTCCTACAAGTAGCAGCGAGCATTAGTAACTACACAACAGTAATTACACAAACTCATGATGATGGATCATTATCAACATGTTGTTTGTAACCCGGTGTAAAACTACAGAGTTAAAACAAGTTAATTTATAATACAAATAATTATTTCAGTTAATTAATTAAATAATTCAGTAATGCAAATAAACTGAAAGTAATTTAGGTTAAAAGCAGTGAAAGATGAAACGATAACCGAGAGATTAACATAAATTCACAAATAATAAGTGGAGTGTGGATAGTTAATTAAGTAGTTACATTAAACTGTTCTATATAGTAGCTGAAGGAAAGTGTGTGGTAAACCAAACTTGAATATTCAGATTTGTGTAATTGGTTCATGCTGTTTCATTTGATTGGTTGATGTATATGTCACTTGGTGTTTCCTGTTTGTAATTGGCCGTAGGTAACATAAGAAGTAGCTGAGGACAGTAACGTGCATTTCTTGCCTAATCACAGTGGATTAGGGCGCTTGAGTTTTGCAAGAGTGACTGTGCTAACTAAGCTAAAGCAAGGGAGCTGCTAGCCAAGAGGACGCCATTGCTGAACGGGAAGGACTGTTTCGCGCTTCCTGATGAGGGCCTTGCTTCTGCTGCAGTTTGCTTTCATCTCCATCTCTTCATGAACTGTTTCTCCAGGAATTATTCCAGACCGTGAGTTGGATTTTCTGTTTGACTGTTAATTGCCACTGAGGATAAAGATTTGCCTGCCGCACCGAGCAACACACAGGCTGCAACTTTTACTGTTTTGTGTGCGTGTGAGTGTGAGTATGTGTGTGTGTGGGCCCACTGTTTTGTTTAGAGTAGCATATTTGATCTGAGTCTGATAAGTATAGAGAAATCATATTAAAGTAGTAAGAACCTCAGATAATTTAAGTTTTGAATAGTAGTGATTTTCTACAGTGTTTTGCCAATTTTGGTAAAGGGTACATTTGCTTACAATTTAGTATTTCAACTATAATATTTTTATTTTAAAGAAGTCTAATTTGAGTAATTGTGTTATCTCATTTTTGTTTATTTGTTAACTAACAAAGTAAATATTATTTGTGTTACACTGCAAACCACTGGTTAGTAAACTATTATTATTTTATTTATTTGAAAGAGTTGTCTGGGGTCAGTTATTTAAAATAGTGTAGAGTACGTGTGAATTGAGCCACTGCTTAGTCGAACAGTGTTGTTGGTTATTCATAAAGTATTTGGCTTTTAAAAGTTTCACACAAAAAAGGTAAACCTTTGTGGTAGCTACCTTAATAAATCGAACCCAAACACCCCAACATTTAAGTCCAAGGTGAGTTCCTTTAACTGAGGCATTTACTGAGTGTTGGGGTGCTACATGTTGTTAAATATACTATGTTGGTGTATTTCCATCAGTTTGTGTTCATCAGTACCTGTGACAGTCAGAGTTGTACCAGGTAAAATACTGTTCCATTCAAAGCTTCCTGCTGTGAATTTGAAGCGATACTCAGCTGAATCGCTCTCTCTCAGGTCAGTGATTCTCAGAGTGGAGTGTCCTCTCCACGTTTCAAGGACCTGAACACGACCTGCATACTGGGAGTCTTCACTGAGGTCCTCAGGCCGTGAGGGACTCTGCCACTGATGACTACGTTCAGGACTGAACCAGAATTTAGATTCAACATTAAATGTATAACTGTTGTAGGTTAAAGAAATGTCCACTGATGAGCCTTTGGAAGCACAGATGCTTCTGTCAGTGTAAGTCACTCTGTTGCAGGATTGATCACGGACACCTGAAAGATAAAATAATTGTTTGTTTGATTTTTAAACCAGAGTTGACAATGAAGAGTCACAATGTAGGACTCATTGTTAAAATACATGTAGTTATAAGGCTCCATCAGATGCCGTTGTGTTAGTGGAAGACTGTGTAGTAAACTCACACACTGAAGGAGAGGGGAAATCCTCATGTCCTTTAACAGCACAGGAATAACTGTCTGGAGAATAAAAGTAGCCTGAATAAAATGATGTAGATGTCTCTTCGTGAATTTTCTGTCCATTTTTGTACCAAACGTAGGAAGAATAATAAGGTAGATCACAAATACTATGACACTTCAGCTCTCTCCAGTTATATGAATATGAAGATCTGATCTGCACCTGGAGATCTGGATCTGTGAAAAAGGGACATGAATGTTATTTTAGACAAAACTATCAACATACACACAGACAAATACACACAACACATATATTATTGTTTTCTAGATGTTGAACATTTGGAAATAATTAACAAATGGCTGAAAATGTTACCTGTGACAGACAAAGTGACTCCAGGTGAACCAGAATATTCCCCACGTGTCTGGTTTGTTGTGAATCTGAACTTGTACTCAGCTGAGTCGCTCTCTCTCAGGTCTGTGATTCTCAGAGTGCAGTTGTTGTTATCACTGATATACTGCACACGACCTGAATACTCTGGGTCTGTTCTCAGATCCACCAATTCATTTCCATTCATTTTAGTAAACCAGAAACTTTCCTCAACTTCAGTATAACTGTCATTTTCCCAGGATGGGTATCTGTAGTTGCAGCGTATGTCCACTGTTGATCCTTTTAAGGCACAGATCTCAGTAAAGTTGTAAGTCACTCCCCATTCTTCCTGACCCTGTACCACTGTAACACAGGCACAGGCACCCTTTGTCAGTAACTTATGGGACTCTTTGTGCAAATGTGAGTTACTGTGACTAATATTAACATGTGTCTTTCTGTCCTAACAGAGCAGAGACCACTGCTGCTTTGGTATAAACTGAATTTTATTTCATTTTAATACTTGTTTGACTTATTAAGTTTTTAAGGGTTTTATTATTTTATTTAAACTATTGCCTGTTTTATATAGGTATAATAGTTAGATAGTTTTAGTTTTTTAATTTATAACAACACAGAGCACATCAGGGCACACAATCAAAATTAACAATCAGTTTATAAGACGAAACAGATCATAAGACCAATATGATTTGGGGTAAAAGAAACCTGGAATAGCTTCATCCTCAATTATTTGACTAATTATTGTTAAAAAAAAAATTTACTAATCAGACATTTATCTAATTAGAACTGAAGTGGAATATATAGTTTTAGCACTTATGGAGGGAAGCCTGCGAACTACTTCAAGCAGCTGCGCTGCTATAAGCACATGACATGCCTCACTCCATAATCACGAACCAAGCGCACCCTTCCAATCTGGTGGTCT